AAGTCAGGAAGCATAAAGTCTGAAGTATTGCAAAAGAATTACTAAGATGATGAACTAGAGAATCTAAGGTGGGTAAACAGATAAAGAGGACACACTAGGTAAAGAGAAGAGAAAAGTCTCGGGGAATCAGATACCTACATTAGGGATCATGGGGAATAACTCTGATGCAATCATTTTAACAGATTAGGAAGCTGAGGCTTTGAGAAATTCGTCATTTTCCCTCCACAGCACATAGCTTGTAAGCAGTGAAGCTGTGATTGGAATCAAGGTTGGTCTGATGGTCTGACTCCAAAAACTAAGTGGGTGTAGGGATAGAGTTGAACAAGTTTGAGCTAAATGTTAGGGAAGCATGAGCTACTCCCCAGCTGGTTTGTATCTGGCAGGGGTAATGTTAGTCAACCGGGTAAAACCTCATGGTTATTAGTGACTCTTCTTTCTTCTTCCTCCTGTGCAGGGTCTGCCATTCTGGTAGCCACCGTTCTCTTTCCTGCTCACTGCTGCTCCCTCACTTTAGGTTATTCCCCCTATATCTGGACAACTGAAATAAGATCTCATTTTGTGGGACAGGCAGGTGCTTAAGGGCGCTGGACCCCCACATGGCTGACTGTGGTTCAAGTCCCAGACCTGGCAGGTTGCTTTCTCACTTTCCCTCTCTCTCGCTTGTTTGTTCCCTCACTCTCGCTCTTGCTTTGTCCCTCTCTAGTCAAAATTAAAATTATTAATTAATCAATTAAGTTAAATAAAATCTAAAAATAAAGAGAGAGAGAGAGAGAGAGATCTCATTTTGCTTTTCTTCTGATCTTAAGAGTGCATTTAAGGGGCCAGCAGATGAAGAAGCAGTTACGTCACTGGACTCCCACGTAGCCTAATGTGGTTTGATTCCCAGACCTGGTGACTTGAAACTCATGCTCGGTGTGTGTGTGCACCAAGATCCTGGGAGAAGAATGGAGGAGAAGGGATTGCAACGTGGCCATTCCCCTGGGGTGTGTGTGTGTGTGTGTGTGTGATTTTTTCACTTTCCCTTTCACTGTGTCTGTCTCTCTCTTTCTCTGGTGAGTGCACACACCCTTAGGCTGAAAAAAGAGTGCCTTTAATATCTTCTTTAGTAACTGTTTACTTAGTCTCACTGTACTCAAAAACTTTCTCTGGTTCCTCGTTGCCTATGAAGTAGAGTTTAGACTCACCCTGGTGCTCAGTGGCTCCATAGTTTGTGCTCAGACCAATCTCCAGTTTTGCTCCTATCAACTGTCTGTGCCAGTTCACTGAGTCTCTGCCATTCATTCTCTCACTTTTATTCCCTTCACCCTACAAGACATTCTCCGTCCCCTTATTTTTATTTTGTAATTGCTAGTGGGTGTGTGCACTTGAGAGAGAGAGAATGAAAATTCCCCGGTGGAGTGGAGTCATGTCACAGTTATTTTCCCTCCATTTTTCCATCCTTTTGGGATTTGGGGACACATGAACCCAGTATGTTTTTTAAGCCACCAGGATGGTATCTATCTGTAATCAGCCTTGTGGAATCTGGCCTTCTATGGGGCAATCTGGCTCTCTGTTTCCTGACTTTTCACTTTCTACATAATTTTTTTTTTTAAGTTTTTGCTATAGGGTGTGTGCACTTGCCAGAGAGAGAGAGAGAAAACGGGGAAAAGTGAGAAATTACCCCCCCCAGGGGGGATGGCCATGCTGCAGTCCCTTCACCTCCATTCTCCTCTTGGAATTTTGAGCACACACGCACACACACCTGGTGTGATTTGCAAGCCAATGGGTCCAAGACTAGAACTGTGCAACTAGCCATGTGGGATCCAGCATCCCAACCTCTACATCACCTGCTGGCCCTCTACTTGAAAGTTTTACTTTTTCTGGGAAGTTTTCACTGATTCCTTCAATTCCTAAGGATCATTTTTTTTCCTTTGAACTCTGTACCATTTAACTTTCTCTACTGTTGCTTTGTCCTGAAAGCATTTATTTGAAGCTAAGATGATGGTTTTGCTCTGTATATATGCTAAGTTTGAAGTCAAGAGACTAGTATCTTGGTTAGTAAAAGAAAACAAGGATTTTGTGTGTGTGTGTGTGTGTGTGTATTTTTTTGGAGGTTTTTTTTTTTTTTTAAAGTTGACCAGAGAGAGACAGAGAGAAGGAAAATGAGAAAGCAAGCTGCCAGGTCCAGGACTCAAACCACGGTCAGCCATGTGGGAGTCTAGCTGCCTTAACCATCACACCACCTGCTGGCCCCAAGGACTTATATAAGGTAGCAGAAATCGTGACTTATCTTTGAGATAGAACTTTTTAAAAAAGTACAGAATGTTTACCAACTTACAAAAAGTAGGTCAGTGACCAGGAATAACATTTACATACAGAATTACAAAATAAGCAGTCTGTCTAAGTCCTACACTATCTCCTTTCTCCCTCTAGTAAATCCTGTATTCCTCAGGTTTCATGAGTTTGAGGGTTCCTACTGAATGTTGAATCAGAGCAAGGCCTTGTCCTGCGCCATCCTGAGAGTTCCAGCAAAGAGTGCAGGTACTCCAGAATGTCACCTCACTCCTGTCTGGAGCCACATCTCTTTGTACATCTGCTTCCTGCTCACTGGCTCGCTGGGGTCTCTTGTCAAAAGAATTTGAGCTTCTTTGGACTGACTCTAGATTCATCCCTCTTCCATGATTTACTAGTTACTCCGCCTTAGGTAAGACATACTGTTAGGAAAGGAAATTGTAAAATAAGGATACTTACCTTACCAAAAGTTAGCAGTAGCATTTGTGCAAAGCTCTAGCATAATGTCTGGTACATAGCTGGAACACAATGGACACCCTTTCCACCCACCATTTTCATTCACAGTATTGTTTCTGTGCCCCTTGATTCCTTTTCTTAAGAAGTTTTCAGCCCCATGTCATTAAGTGAATTAATAGTCAGGCCTGGCCCATTATAATGAACTATGAATGTGGGTTGAATGAGAGCAGGCATATGGTTGTTGGCAACCTTCATTCTCTGTAAGAAAAAGAAGAGAGGAGAGCTGGGACAGTTTGCATGTACATTCAGAATCCTTCTTGGAGGAGTCCAACCTGGTGGGGCCCCAGGATCTGTTTGAGCCTTCGACCTTTGAGCACAGCCTTGGTCGGCTCAGCATGTTGGCAAGGCCGCTTGCTGTATGCTCCAGAGACTGTGGTAGCCTTGCTGGGAGGCGACCCCCCTCTGACTCCCTGATATACTACTATAAAAGAATTACATAGCTCTCTCATATATCTTGAGTATGTGGTAAGATTTCCCAAAAGTCCCCCGACCACTCCCTTTTGCCCTGACCACCTACTGTTAATTACAATGCTTCATCCCTGAGGTCACAATGGAGGGTGTGCTGAAGTTCCATTTAGGCAGAAATCTTCCTGACCTTTGGAAGGCCTTTCAAGACACATATAATATAAATAATACAATAGGATTAGTCCGAAACTGGCCCAGGACACTCTTGCCCCATGGTAACTAATGTTCTAACTAAATACATAACAGTGGTGCCATAGGCTACACAAGTGAATCCACAACAAAACACTTAGGTACCATAAACCCATTTTAAAGTTTTTCATTAACTTGTTAGTCATTTTACTTTTGACTTAAGAAAAACTGGTACTGCTAGTTGGAGAAGCTGTTTAAAGTATCCCCTTATTCTCACCAAGTGAGCAGTAGGCTCATCCCTTTAAAATAGATAGATATATTAGAATTTCTTGAATTAAGTTTTAGATCCCTATAGAATTATATAAGTATCATTCTTTATTGAGATCCATAAGAACTAATACCTATACTTGAGGTTTTCTTTTAGTAATCACAAGATGGCTGCTGCCGAACATCGGCTGATAATTAACTCTGCTTGCTGGAACTGTTTTCTGAAACTGCACTCCTTGAAGTTCCCAACAACCTGCTTTCATCAATCAAACAATTGTTGAACTGTATCGATGATTAATAGACCTGCCCTTAATCAAATCCTAAATGAAATTTATGATCCCTATTGCTAAAACTTTATGAATTGATAATTAGAACACATAGCCCCTCACCCATTTACTTGCATGTATTACATTTTCGATAAAAAGGCACCATGATTCCTAGCAGTTGTCACTCTTCAGAGAGCAACCTCTGAGAGTGTCTGACTCAGGACGTGCACAAAAAAAGCACCGAGGCCTCAGTCTTTCCTTCTAGCGCCGCCTCCGACGAGTCAACCCACCCACGCTGAGGCTGGTCCCTGGCACTTTCTCTTAGGGGGCTTTTTTTTTTTTCCTACTTTCATTTTCCTGGTTGCCTTAGGTGAGATTGATTGATTTCCTTGATTTCCATCCCTGGATTGGGAAATGTAGATACTGGGGCCTGAGCAAATAGAATTTTTGTACTCAAAAGCAAGTTTGCAGGCATTTTTGCTGTTAACAAGTCCCCACCTTTTCTCTTTTTGATTTCAATTCCTTGGACCAGATTGTAGCCCACACATAGCAAGCTAAAATTCAGGATCTGAAGAATTACTACTGGGGTTGGGACGAGCAGTTGGCGTAATGGCTGTGTCGCTGGACTCCCACATAGTCAACTGTGGTTCAAGTCCCAGACTCAGTGGCTTAAACTCACACCAGGCATGTGTTCGTGCATACCCAAGATCCCAAGAGGAAAATGGAGGAGAAGGGATTGTGTCATGGCCATCCCCCTGGGTGGTGATTTCTCGCTTTCTGTCTCTCTCTGTCTGTCTGGAGAGCGCCCCCCCCCAATAAAAAAAACCCCTAAAAAAAAAAAAAAAAAAAAAAGGAATAATTCTAGTAGTTTCATAATAGGGTTATTAGCAGGATTAAAGGAAATAGCTCATGCTGCAACAGTGCCTGGCACTTTGTAAATGGTTAATAAATGTAAACTATTATGTGACATTGTGGTTCAATGTGTGTGTGTGTCTGTGTTCCCTTCAGTATATTGCTCTTTTTAATGTCATTTTCTTTGCATTGTTATCCTGTCTGACCTTTCTCCCATACTTTTTTTTTTCCTAGTGAAGTCTGCCAATCTTTAGTAAAACACAGCTCTGGAATAAAAAGAAGCTTACCATTACAAAAACTGCACCTGGTTTCACGAAGTTTTTATCATTCTCATCATTCTACCTTAAAGCTTCAAAGACCTCAATTAAGGACATCATGTCAGCAATTCTCTTCTCTAACTAACCTTCCTTTACGTAAATTGAAACTTTCTCCAATTAAATATGGCTACCAGCCCCACAGGAATTTTTGGCCAGCAAGATTAGCTGCAAGGCTCTTAAAGCTTCGCTATCTCATACTAGGATCTGCTGTTGGGGGTGGCTACACAGCCAAAAAGGTAAGTTTAATGTTCCTCTGGTTTTCTAGAGACTCTAACATGATTGTTTTAATTTTCTGTAGCATGAATTGTTTTTCTTCAGTGTAGTAGAATACAGTTGGACATTTAAGTATTGATATTTATCATGTGTCTCTATTGTGTATTAAATGATTTTAGTGGCACCAATAGGGAAATACCTTCCGAATCTTAGTTATAATTTTAGGAGATAAAAGTGGCCTAGTGGAAGGAGCACTGGGCTGTGAGAGAAACCTTCTAGCTTTGACTTGAGCTTTGTCACATGATAGCGCTGATGGGAAAGTTAGGTGACATGCTCACTCAGCCGCTTGACGGCTCTCAGACCAGAGACAAGGTGTCTGGTCTCTCGGTCCACCTTCCACCTCTCCTTCCTTTCGTTTGCCTTTATTTAAAGCCAAATGATGAAACAAGTTTGAAATAGTATATTTTGAGCTGTCACATTTTCCATGTTTAATAAACGAGTATTTATATGTTTTATATGCTTGAGATAATTTGTTTCTAAGAGGCTGAGGCTACTTAAATTGGTTTCTTCATTAGGCTACTGTGTTTTTAATTAATTATTTTTTCATCTTTAGTGTTATTCAAGCACCTGACTGACATTTTTTCTTATTATTTTAGACTTTTGATCAGTGGAAAGATATGATTCCTGACCTTAGTGACTATAAATGGATTGTGCCAGACTTTGTGTGGGAAATTGATGAGTATATTGATTTTGGTTTGTATCATCTATGTTAAAATATTTTGGGGGGGGTTCATCTTTTAGGAAAGAGAAATAGTTATGTTAAGATAAGATAATTTCTTTTTTTTTTTTTTCTTGCTATAGGGCGCCTGTGCTTGCCAGACAGACAGAGAGACAGAAAGCGAGAAATCACCCCCCCTAGGGGGGATGGCCACGCTGCAATCCTTTCTCCTCCATTCTCCTCTTGGGATCTTGGGTGCACAAGGTCCAGGATACGAACTGTGGTCGACTACGTGGGAGTCCAGCAACGTGGCCATTACACTAACTGCTGGTTCCTTTAAGATAATTTCTTAACTTACGAGACTAATATGTAAGAATTTTATTTTAACGAATAAAAGTAATAGACTATCAAAGAAAAAATTCGTATGAAAAACTAAGCCAGTAGTTCATCACTTTAATATAGTTCCTGGTGTTCTAATGCTCTAAGGAGCATTTTCCTTAATTGTACTTATACACATGTAGTTAATAATTTTTTTTCTTTTTAAAAGTCATGTAGTCTGGGACCAGCAGATGGTGTAAGGCTGCATCGCTGGACTCCCATGTGGTCGACTGGTTAGAGTTCCTGACCCGGTGGCTTAAACTCACGCCGGGCACGTGTATGTGCATGCCCAGGATCCCAAGGAAAGAATAGAGGAAAAGGGATTGTGGCGTGGCCATCCCCCGCAGGGGGTGGTTTCTCACTTTCTATCCCTGTCGCTCTTTCTGGCAAGCATGCGTGCCCTATATCAAAAACTTCTCAAAAAAAAAAAAAAGTTATATAGTCATAGTAACCGTACACATTGTTATCATGTCTTTCCTTACCTAATATATTTTGTCAGCATTCTCATGCTGCCCAACAGCCTTTCTAAACGTCACTTTTAGCACTGTATGAAGTTGCCCAGAACATAAGTTTCAGGATCCATCAAACCAGCACTTCTTGATTGAATACATAGCTTTTACGTTTTATTGCTAAGTTCCTTAAAAATCTGTTAGCATCCAGAGTGGTTTCTTCCCTTAGCCAGCTGCTGCCCCTCCTTTCTTTAACAGATAGATAAGGAAAAGTTTATTTGGCATAATGGCTACGTCGCTGGACTCCCATGTAATCGACCACAGTTTGAGTCCTGGGCCCGGCGGCTTAAACTCATGCTGGGTGAGTGTGCATGCGTGCCCAATATCCCGAGAGGAGAATGCAGGAGAAAGAATTGCAGCATGGCCATCTCTGGGGGGAAGGAGGGCAGTGATTTCTCGCTTTCTGTCACTCTGTCTTTCTCTGTCTTTCTGGCAAGCGCATGCACCCTATAGCAAACACTTCTCAAAAAAAAAAAAAAAAAAGAAAAGAAAGAAAAAGGTATATTTGATAGCTATGATTGCTAATAATTATAGTGATCTTTAAAAAAATTTTTATGAAATTATTGTTCTTAATCCTCTCTTAGGCAGCTTTTCTCTTTGTTTAGGTGTATAATGAAGTGGAATTAATCTCTACATGCACTTACAGCACTTAAAGCTAAAACTGTGTTATGTTGACAGGTGTTTGATAGCACACTTTCAAGTTGCTTTTCTGATACTGTCAAGGAGAGCATTTCAGCCTGATGCATTTGCTAGTACCATAGTATTGTGGCCAAGAGCCTGGATTCCTGTGTTAGACTTCTGGGGCTTGAACCCTGGCTCCTCCATGTCCCTATGGGGTGTCCCAGTTTTGTCTCTGTAGATGGGGCTCATAGTGGTAGCTAGTTTGTAAGGTTGTTGTAAGGATTAAACAAGGTAATACTTTTATAGCCTTAGGATAATATCTGACACATGTTCTTATTTTGAAGTTATTTATGTATTTTTGATCTTCTCCAGAGAAAATCAGGAAAGCACTTCCTGACTCAGAAGACCTTGCAAAGTTAGCACCAGACTTTGAGAAGATTGTGGAAAGCCTCAGCTTATTGAAGGACTTTTTTACCACAGGTAAGAAAGGGCCTGTTTGTTCTCATTTAAAATTTTAAGAACCATAGAGGAAAAATGCATAGATATATTTGTTTGTTTATTCCCATATTTTGAATTATAGTATTTAGTACAAGTGAAAAAAAGGTTTTTTCAAAATAAAAGGATGGGGGACAGCAGATGGCATAGTGGTTATCTTGCCGGACTCCCACATGGCCAACCGCAGTTTGAGACCCAGACCCGGTGACTTGAATATCACACCAGGCATGTTTTCAAGGTCCCAGGAAGAGAGTAGAGGAAAAGGAATTCCAGCATGGCCATCCCCCACAAGGGAGTGATTCTCACTTTTCCCTCTCACATTCTCTGTCTCTCTCCAGTGACTACACCTGCCCTATGGCAAACACCTCTAAAAATAGTAGTAATAATAATAATAATGAAAAGATAAACACAAAGTTTTGAGGTACAGTGGTTTTATATAGCCCAATAAAGTGAGAATTTATATAAGCTTAAACATGCTTTGCTTTTAGTCATCGAGGGGAAAAAAATTGCTTGTTCTTGACAAGTAGATGAGACTTCCTATGTATTTGCTTTTCATAATTGATTTGAGCCAATTTGGCAATTTTATAAGAAATTTAACTATGATGGACCACGATGAGTAGAGTTTAAGGTTAGTCCTGGCGTAGTTGTCCAGTTACTGCCCTGTCATGATATAAGTCTGAGATCTCAGACATCTTTGTTTGCTCATTCCTGTTAAATTTTACATTTCTATTTCCCCTTTTGCTGATTTTTCACAGGTCACAAATTGGTTAGTGAAGTCATAGGAGCTTCTGACCTACTTCTCTTGTTAGGTGTGTAAACAGACATCTTTGCTGACCTTAACATGCCTTTAAGTGCTTCTTTCTAATAAACTAGTTGCAAATAAAATTACAGACCAAATTTATAATGCTGCTTATGCTGAATCTTAAATCCCCAGAACTATGTTAGGCAAACTCAATATACTTTAGGTGCAAAGAATAAAATATTGAAATAATTATTCTATGATATAAATAAAGTTCCTAAATATATATGTATATTATAAGATTAAAGCTATTAAAAGAAAATTTGCTTAGCCAAATTATTTTCTGAAATAGATCTAATTGTTTTTGATCATCAAAATGAAAAGTAATTTTAGTTTGTCTCATCTGCCCTGTCATGGTTGATATTTTAAATTTGTTTTTCTATTATAATATGTGATCTGTAATGGCAGGGGTAAATGGCTGAAGTGTAAGTACTCTCATATAAAAAATAATCTTTCCCAAACATGGTTTTATTTATTTTATTGTAATTTTTAGTTCTATATTTTTTAGATAGTTAGATTAAATATGTGCTTTGCTCTAGTTTTTTGTTTTTAATTTTCTACATAGGTTACCAGAAATATTCCTTAAAATAAAAATAAAGTGATTTGATGCTTTCGACCTAAATTGCTCTTAAAATCCAATTACCTTTTAATTGGTTAGACATAATTTGGAATTTAGTTTAGACTGATGACATCATTGGAGAATTTAAAGGAGTGCAACATTTATCTTTAAGGTTCACCTGGAGAAACAGCATTCAGAGCTACAGATCATGGATCTGAAAGTGACAAGCATTATAGAAAGGTAAGTATAAAAGAGAATCCTTCAAGTAGGTAGTCTTAGAGGGTTGGTTTACATTTTTACCTTTTTGGAAGATTTGAAAATGCTAACATCTGAGGAGCAAATACGAAAGCATCTAAGTAGAGATAGTCTTATAATCTTAGTGTAGAATGCAAGGTATTATGTTACGTGGCAGTTCTGGAAATATAGTTAGAGAAGCCCATTTCCTTCAAATAGTTTGTGTAAAAAAGTAGTTTCAAAGGCAATCCCTAAGAAAGGGTTGTAAAATAAGTGTAAGAAAAGCTGGTTTTAGACAAAACATGAAGATGTTCTTAGGACTTCACAGACCTTATTATATTGATATGTATTTTTAATCCCTAAGAGGAGTCAAAATGTACTGTTTTCTGGTTTTGCTTAACAATGGAACCCTTTTTCTCTTGAAACCACTTCTAGGGCCTAAGTTTCATGTAGAGAAAATATTAAAGAGAATAGAAAATGGGCTACCATATACAATTAACCAAGTCTTTTATATTGAGAGTCAGCGAAGTTATATGTGGAGTTAAAGTGTATCAATTTCAATTTATGTGCATGAAAATCCATATAAAAGTTGTAAGAGCATTACATATGAAGTTCTAGGAGAATTGTTGATACAGAATAACTTACATTGCTCTGTATTTAAAATGTTTACCTGATGTTTTCCTACTCTTCCCTTTTTTCATTCTTTTGGAATTGGCATAATAACTGATTCCTTGACTATTTTTTGAATAATATCTAGCTAAATAGTTTATGGAAAATATTCTAGGAGAATTTTTAAATGAAATGAGGAATATGCAGCTTTATACAGAAGATTATTATGGTTCTAGTACATCAAAAGATATAATTTTATGTTTATTAGGGGTACAGAAAAAGGAAATAATTGATTATACAGTAGACCTCCTTTATCTCTGGGAGATATGTTCAAGACCCGCAGAGGATACCTGAAACCACAGATGGTACAGAATCCTGTATATACACTGTGTTTTACCTATCTTAAAGTTTAATTTATGAGTTAAGTGCACAGCAAGAGATTAACAACAGCCAATAATAAGGTTGAAAAATTATGACAATGTTCTATAATAGAAGTTATGTGAATGTGATTTGTCTCTCTCAAAATACCTTATTGTACTGTACTAGCTGTTTTTGGACAGAGGTTGATTGTGAGTAGCTGGCCCTGCAAAGTGAAACCACAGATAAGGGGAGATGACTGTCGGCTTTCATCTCTTTACCTGTTCTTTTTTTTTTTTTTGCTATAGGGCGCATGCGCTCGCCAGATAGACAGAAAGAGACAGAGAGACAGAAAGCGAGAAATCACCCCTCGGGGGAATGGCCACACTGCAATCCCTTCTCCTCCATTCTCTTCTAGGGATCTTGGGCAAGCACACACACACACGCCTGGCGTGAGTTTAAGCCACCGGGTCCAGGACTCAAACCTCGGTCTACTACATGGGAGTCCAGCGACATAGCCATTATGCTAACTGCTGGTCCCTCTTTACCTGTTCTTCAACTTTGGAATTTTTACATGGGTGTTCTAAATTTTAATATTTAAATGTATTTTTTCTTTTGCTTTTTAACTTTATATTTTGGAGAATGCATATTTCAAAATGTGTATATATGTGTTTGCCCCTTGATTTTTGCATTGACATCATTTTAACCAAAGGACAGTCAATGACTGTCAATGCTACTGGGGGAAAAATTTAAGTAGAAATTGACCTAATATATGTAGCTTATTTTGAGCCAAGACCTTAGCCTTTAAGGCAAGTAAACTTAGTATACAGATGGGAGCTAGTCTGACTAGAAAAGGGGACCTTTGTCACAGTTATGGTAACATGGGTCTTTGAGTGACAAGGTTTCCTTTTGCTTACATCAGTTAGAGGAGGTCCATGTATCCGCTTTGTCTCTGAGGTAGCCTGGGATCCTTTTGGTGAATGACAAATGTGTTTCAGGATCTGACAGGGATAATTCCTTAAAACCCTGCGAAGGAGATAAATGACTAACCAATAATTGATCAGGCGCTCTGCAGTATAGAAGAAGCAATGGAATATACTTTTGGGAATGTGATATGCTTAAAAATTTTACTTTATGGACTAGACACAAAAGTACCTTTATTGCTCTATGTTATAACTTACTCTTTTGCTTATTTGATGATAAATGTCCTCATAGACTTAACTTTTTTCTTAATTCATGATCATTTCATCCACTAAAAATTCACCAATTATTTTTCTCAACTACTTGTAAATACTGAGTGTAGAGTTGTAATTAAGCTGCTTTATTTACAGGTTAAATTGTAGAAATGCTAATACAAAACTTTACTATGCAAAAAAGTGCCTCTAGACCTAACTAATGGTTTTAATTTCTATAATACGCCACATTGTGTTTCCAAGACTTGACCGTTACCTGTCATGCCTAAGAATATGAACAGCTCAGATCAAATGCAGATAAAGTAACAATTTTAAGAGACTTGCCTGCTAATTGGTAGTTGAATGCAAGCATGCATAGGGAGACATTCCCTGAGTGGTAGACTTTTCAAAATCACTCAGATGCAAATTTTGAAATTTAGGCAGTAATCAGAGGTGGTAGGATGAGATCTTGAGTTTAGCTGATACCTTTTTGATTGGTTCAGTCTAATGTCTGAGAGTCTCAGATTTAATCCAATATTCAGGGTTTGAAGCCGTCATGTGTTAGTTTAATTGTCAAAGTTCTAGCTAGACTTCTGAAATATAAAAAAAGTAAATCAGATTTTTATAAAAAGTGCTATAATTGGAAAACATTTCTACCACTACAACAACAACAAAAAGATTTGTCTTTTCCAATAGGAGAATACATCTGGAGAAGGGCTGGCAAGAAGAGACATAATTAAGATCTTTCCAAGTCAATTCAAGTGAAAAAACGACAGGTAGTTGAGAGCAACACAGAGTTCTGATCATTTTGAGTCAGACAGAATGGAGGATGAGATGAACTGATGTCCTGTGGTTCCCAGCTTGGGATCACTAGACTTAAGTGTCCTGGAAAGTTGTAATAGAGGTCTTCACAAAGTCTGTAGAGAGTGTAGTCTCACATAATGCTTCAAAGGCATCACTTTGGTGATGTCTGGATTTTATCAGTTCAGCTTGTGGACACTATATCATGGGATCAAAACTTCTGATACATATCTTCAGTTAATAAAACACTGAAAAAACTAATAACCTTGGGAACCAGCAGTTAGCATAATGGCTATGTCGCTGGACTCCCACGTCGTCGACCGTGGTTCGCGTCCCGGACCCGATGGCTTAAAACTCACGCCGGGCGCGTGTGCGTGCGTGCCCAAGATCCCGAGAGGAGAATGGAGGAGAAGGGATTGCGGCATGACCATCCCCCCTGGGAGGTGATTTCTCGCTTTCTGTCTCTCTGTCTCTCTCTGTCTGTCTGGCGAGCGCACGTGCCCTATAGCGAAAACCTCTCAAAAAATAAAAAAAGTTTAGAAAAAATAAAAAATAATAACCTTAACTTAGACTACTTCATTGAAGTATGATTTACATACCATAAAACCAATTTTTTAATAAATACTTGTTCATTGGAAATTTTAAAATTTGCATCTACTGGAAGAAAATACTAGAAGTAATCCCTTGGTGTGAACTGAATAATATTATGAGACTTGGAAACCTGAACTACATGAAGACAAATTGGAGTTAGAGTGGTAAACCTGTTTGAGTAGATTAATTGACTCAATTGATTTGTAAATGAGAAGATTTTTATATATATCAGTCATAATATATGAAGATATTTTAAAAGTTCATGGAAAATGGAATTGAAGTATCTATTTTGATGCAAAAAATTTATTTTATTTTTTGAGAGGTTTTTTGCTATAGGGCGCGTGCACTCGCCAGAAAGAGAGAGACGGAGAGACAGAAAGCGAGAAATCACCCCCTAGGGGGGATGGCCACACCACAACCCCTCCTCCTCCATTCTCCTCTCGGGATCTTGGGCACACACGCACACGCTCCCGGTGTGAGTTTAAGCCGCCAGGTCCGGGACTCGAACCCCCATCAACTACATGGGAGTCCAGCGACATAGCCATTACGCTAACTGCTGGTCCCAATGCAAAAAATTTTAGAAATTCATACTTTTTATTTATTTTTCTTTTTAATTTACTATAGGGCATGTGTGCTTGTCAGAGAGAGAAAGGTTTGGGGAGTGAGAACACACTCTACAAGAGGATGGCCACATCATAGTCCCTTCTCTTCCATTCTCCTATCTGGATTTGGGGCACACGCATAGATTCCCCATGTGTATTTTCATGCCTCTAGTTCTGGGACTCAAATCATGCATTTGGCTATTTGGAACTCAGCAGCCTTAACTACCATACCACCAGCTGGCCCCTTGCTTTTTCATAATATTTTTTATAAACTTTTTGAAGACCCCCCTCCTATGTAGGTGACAAGACCACATAGTATGTCTCCTTTTTTAGATTCTATAAGATTATTCTAGTGAAAGTTGGCTTGCCAAATGAGATTGTTTTCATTTGCACTTTTGTCCTGATTGACCACAAGCACCTGACAAAAGGTGTATGGCCATTCTGAAGATGACAAGGACGTTTACATTTATAGAAAATATTTGATGGACTTTTTAAGGGCCTAAATCGCGGAAAATAGTGTTACTGTTTTAAATAGCACTATTAAGTAATAATGCATTAAGGCTCTTATTTTCAAAATGTTACTCCAATTTTTGTTTTTATGGTTTATGCTGTACCACCCAACTGGAATATCTTTTCTTTCTGTGTTGTTTCCAGTTATTGTTAAAGTATAGCTAAATTATCTTCATAACTCATTTCCAGTCATTGTTAAAGTATAGCTAAATTATCTTCATAAAGCCTTAATATAACCCTTTGAGTTTCATTTAAGCATTATCTTCTCAGCGTTTAAAACATTTGCCATATGAGACAGTATTTACTTTAGCTTGCATCCTTACAATCTAACGGGCTGTTTCTGTCACTAAATCCATGTCCTCAG